GGGGAAGCCAAACCTGACGTTATCCTTGACAAGGAACGGGAGGGCTCAGTGTCAAGGATCTGCTGCCCTCAGGTCATTCACGTTCATCTCCACCCTGCACTGCTGCTCAGCTCCTGGTGCGCAGCCCTGTGGGGGGCCTCAGGAACCTTCACTGACCTTCTATCAGACTGCCCAGGGCTCGGATAGTGGCCCAGAAGTCCAGGGAAACTGGGAGGAGGGCTGGAGATGTACTTTTTTGCATCTTAAAAATCAGTATGTCTGTGTAACTCTCATTCACCTCTAACTCAGAATATGGCAGCAATAGATTTTTTTTAAAGTAAATTCCTCCCTCCTTCCTCTTTCTTCTTTTAAAAATGTTTTATTGAGTCTTTGGTTCAAGTTTACATAGCGTGGTAGTTACATAATCTGTCAACCTGAGTGAAGGGGTGGAGTCTAGCCTGTCCATCAGGCCATAGCCAATGAGGCCTCTGCGTGGGCATAGCCTTCTCCTGAGGATTCTGGGAAATCCTAGAGGTGGGACACACTCCCTAGAGGTGGGACACACTCTCTCTGAGCCCTGGAGCTGGAGGAGCCACGTGGAGACCTGCACCAGGGCTGAGGTGCCTCCACCGCCACTGGATCCATAATGGGCCTGTGATCTTCCTAATTCAGCATCATTGCATGGGCTGTGTTGAGTCTGAAGAGGAATTTATGGACTAGTATCAGTCATATGGGTTAATGTCAGACTTAGGGACTAGGTCTGGACTGGAACGGGATATTATGGCAATACACAATTGCTCTTTGATATAAAGCTCTCTCTTCCACACACGAGTGTCTCTGGATTTGTTTGTCTAGCCAACCCGGTCTAACACACATAACATATGAGGTTTCCATTAAGCAAGTTCTACACACATTGCTTGGTGACATTGGCTGCATTTCCCAGTGTGTCAACATTCTGTGTAATTCCATTAATCCAGCTCTTCTGCTCCACCCTCTGAGCACCCCCACCCCCACCCCCACCCTTGCTTCATCCTGGATGTTCTCATCTGTGCATCAGGGTAAATATTGACCAATGGGGCACATATAGGTTCCCCCCATCCCACGCCCCTTTCCTTCTCTTCCACATTCCCTAAAATGTCCAGCACAGAGCCTGACACGCAGTGGTTATAAATACACACACGTTGAGTCAATAACCGGGCATGAACTTAGCAGTCAGCGCAGGTGCACAACTGTAGCAGTGACAGCAGCCAAGTGTCTGGTGTGGCACATGGGTGCTTCAAAGGGTGCTTGCATGGCAACATGTTGGCCCAACAGCGATCAGCAGAATGCAATGAAATTCTGAGGCTGTTGTAAACCAAAAAGGGGATTAAGAAGCACTAATGATTGCAGAAAGTGGATGGATGGATGAAGTGTGGCCTTGCTCATTAGAAACGTTGGGGTTCGGACGGCCAGCTGCTTCACAGGGGGAAGTCCAGGCTGCCTGCTTCTGTGAAGCTTTACAAGCTTGGAACCCCTATGGGTGGCCCATTCTGTTCCATGGGGTTGCTGTGAGTCAGGAATGGCTGGATGGCGGGGGCTGGAACAACTGGAGAAATTTCTGCCTTTGGAAGCACAAACATACAGGAGACATGTCTGCCTGTGGGGCATCAACACGTACGGAGGCTTGCAAGTACACGCAAGATGGTACTGTAATTAGTTACGGATACTCTAGCTCTGTTGCTTGGCATTTTCTTTAACAGCAAGGAAAGTAAATTCAAATTTCTATCAAAAAGATATTTAAGAAATCCAAAACCAATGCTGACTGGGCCAGCCGGAAAGGTTTTCCAGTTCTTTATCAGATGTTTGATTAAGTTCACTGATAAAGGTCAATTAGGCAGGCTAATTGCTATGGTCTACTTTAATCAGAGTGGTCTCCACTGATCAATCCTGTTGTTGTTGTTGTTTCAAGTACAGAGAAGAGCCATTCGCCCCAACAAGACAAGCTGAAACCATCGATCCATTCAGCTTAATGTAACGGTGTGAATAATGAATGAACCCGATGACGGAGCTCCCTGACACATTGATTGAAAGCCACTTGTTCAAAGTGCAATGACTTCAAAAATATACACTGAAGGATGCCCGGCAGAGGAAGCAACACCATCCCTGTGTCCCTCTGGCAATTCAGTGTCTCCAGGGAGGATGCTAAGGCTCTTAGTCATCTCTCCTGTTCTGCATATCAGAGAGGGGTCTCTTCTAAGCAGTTCCCAAGGGTGGGCTTGGGAGACGGTTCCTACACAAGGCTCTGCAGCAGGACCACAGAACCAGGGGAGGCGGGAGGGACCGCCGGTGGGTGCCCCACTGCTGTTAGGTGGCAACTCCGGATGGCCTCATGCTTCGAGAACACAGCACGGGCCTGGGCCATCTTCGCGATTGCTGGCCGTCTAAACCCATTGCTCTGGCCACTGGGCCCATCTGTTCCTGGTGGGCTCCCTCGGCTTTGCTGTGTCCAGCCATCTCTTCCACCGACTGCTCTTTCCTGAGGACGTGTCCGCACCAAGCCAGCGGAAATCTCTCCGGCCTCACTTCTAAGGCGGGGTCAGTGGACCCAGAGCTGGGCAGTAACTGCTGAGAGCCCCTACTCAGCGACTGCAGGGTTGGGGAGGGGAGATGAGAACGCTTTGGGTTCTACACACTGTAAGTCACAATCAACTCGCGAGCTTTTTGCTCTCGACTGACTGGTGTCTGTTATCTACACCAAACAGGTTGAACAAATCACTGGGCCAGTCACCTTGCTAAGCAGCAGAGATGATGGACAAACCCCACCCGCCCACCCCCACCCTTCCCATGTCCCCTGCAGAAGCGGGCACTTGGAGCCAGAGTGGTCACAACTGTGCACCTTTTGGCCAAGTCCAGTGCACGACCCGCTGGTTTGAGCCCAGGGTCCTGGCCTTGCTGAAATGTCTTTAAGGGCAGATACCAGAAAGGATGACAGGAAGGAAGAAAAGTCGGCTTCTGGTTTACCAAAGTTACTTTGAACAGCCACTTTGGATTCTCTTTCTCTCTCTTTTTTAATAGAAATATGCTTCCCAAAGAAAAAATAGCAATTAAAATGCCAAAGGTCCCAGGCAAAGCTGAGGAAAGAAGTATGTAATGTTCAAGTGCTGAGTTACACTCACACCGATCTCCTTCACACTGATCTCTCACAAGAAGCGTTTAACAGATATGCCCATTAGTTACTTATGAATCATCCTCTGCTTGCTTAATTCGCCTTCCAAGTCGGCACTCGGCGGTCTGCACTGACGGAAATACCAGCTCCTCTGGTTTAGCTTTGAGGTCGGGAAAAATGGAAGGAAAACTGGCTTCGGTCTTGTATTTCAACAACTGAATCGGTCATTTTAGGGAAATTAAAAGCAATATGTTCTATTTGCTGTGGTATAGGATAAAGGATTTAGTGGGCCAAGTTTCAATTTCATTTCATAGGACTGACTAAGGGAAGAAATAATAGAAGAATCTCGAAAGGGAGTGCAGCACGGACCCTCGAAAGTCAGTTTATGACAGGATAAACAGACAGACAAACACCCAATGTTTCTACAAATATACAAAACCCAAACTAAACTCCCTGCCATCGAGCCAGTGCAGACTCACAGTGACGCCTGCAGGTTTTCAAGGTTGTAACTGTTTAGGGGCGTTGAAAGCCCAGTCTTTCTCCACAGAGCTGCGGTGGTTTCCAACTGCACACCACATGGACCGCGGCCCACGACACTGCCCAGGGCTCCCTCGACAGATATCTCGACAGATGCAGGAGATTGAACTCAACACACTTTCATGTGCTGTTGACCCATCTGACGGCAGAAATAACAATGAGGTTCTCCTGGCAGGACAGACTGTGGTAGAACTGTCGCTCTTACAAGAAGATTGTGGTTGGTCCTCATGAGGGGTGAGGGCTATGTTCCACAGAATTCTTGGAGCCATGGACTCGGGGAATGCCAAGCCACGCCTTCAGGGGAAAAGATAAGGTTAGGCTCTTCGACGCCTCTGGTCACGGCATTTTTGTTAACCTTGCTTTAGGTGTTTCTGTTTAAAGATACATTAGATGATATTCAACTCACTGTCACCCGGCGGATTCTGACTAACAGTGAACTTGCAGGATTGAGAAGAACGGCCCCTGTGGGTTTCCCCGGCCGTCAATCTTTACAGGAGTAGACAGCCTCCTCTGGCTCCCGGGGAGTGGCTGGTGGTTTCGAATTATGGACCTTGAGGTTAGCAGCCCAATACGTAGCACACTGGGCCACTGGGGCTCCTACATGGCTTAATACATGTTGTTAACTCATTAACGTTAAACTCACGGTCACCCATATCCAAGTGGAGCGTACCTAACAGACATCACAATCTCCTCTCACGCGTGGGGCACACTCACTAGACAGCGCCCTGTAGTCCTATGCCTGGGACTTCTTTCCAATGTGAGAGAACACCCACAAATAGGGCCCCTCCCAATGCACGTACATACAGAGAATAAAATAAAATCCTGCACAAAGTAAACCACCTCCCTGAAGCGTGGCACCAAATGGACCAGGATACATGCTGGTTGATAGCAGGAGATGGCGAGAGCATTGAACTGTAAGAATGCAGGCGGTCACCCCTCTCAACCTCAGGCGGGGACATTCCCAGTGGGCAACTCAGCTCAGTCACCACCTCTCACAGGCCCACGGTCGCCGGAGAAAACAAGGTGAGTTCCGATCGCGGGGTTACCAAGACATTTCAGCCAGCAGGCCCATTCACAAATTCAGAATCCACAAGTGATGGGGATCAATAATTCCCCACCCCCCACCCCCCACCCTGCAATGTCTCCAAAGAGGTCATACTGTATAGATATATGTGACCGAGAGAATGCGTCGCTTCTAAAAGAACCCTGCTATTTTCATCATGTACAATGAAATCTAACGTAACCCACGACTCGCAAAGACGAAAATACCAATCTGATTGCATGGAGCAAAAGGCATTCTGAAACCCATTTGAAAGCAAATGCTATTAAAGCAACTCACCTGGAAATCTTGGTCATCGATTCCGAACCTCTCCCGCAGGTTCCGGAACACCATTGGGCAGTATTCCTTAAACTTGAAATGGCTCGGCATGTTCTCTCTGAAACAGTGATATCGTAGAATAATAAAACTCCGAGGTGAGGTGGGTAGCCGCCACAGCCCTTAACAGGCTGCCATCTAGTTCTAGAAGTCACTGCCCACAGGGTACCCCGATGTGTCCCCCAGAACCAAGCGTAACCCCCACAGTGAGATCCTGGGGGACGGATGGCAGACCACTGCCGTCTGCCGCCTTTCACCACCCAGGGACACCCAGACTTGCTGACCTGTGAGGTGCTGACCTCACGCTACCGCCCCTTCTCCGAGGAAGGAGAGGGAAGGAAGGGGCTATGTGGGGCAACAATAAGAGAGCCAGGGAACAGAGGTGGTGTTGGGGAGAGGCAAGTTGCTGTTTGTGGGACAAGACTCCTCCCTCACTCCTGGGAGAATGTATTTCATATTTGATACAAATGGCACATTCTCAATTCACATGGAAAACATTCGTTCAAAAGGTCAGTCTCTAAACAGCCCTCCGAGAAAAATGGACACATTTGCTGAACGGCTCCCCGAGGAAACTGTATAACTGATTCTAATGGGAGGGGGGTTTCTGGGGCAGCCTCTGGGACTCGCGCCCCCTCCCTACCCCCACCCGCCCTTCAGAATCGACTTCTTCCAGCTGTGTGTTACCGCGTGCGCACACACACACTTGTGGTATGTTACACTCTGAATCGCAGTGGTTTATATATGTGACAGTTTTCAATCAGCAGCTTAACTATGAGCTCCTTGTGGGCAGGGCCATGCCAGATATGCTGTTGTTTCTCCGGCTCCTAATGGACTGCCTGACACGTAGTAGGTGCTCCATCAAGAATTAAAAAAACAACCACCTCCAAGATAACAATTGTGGTAGTTACATATCTGTTGTTAAGTTGAATCTTAAGAGTGAAGGGGTGGGGTTTAGCCTGTCAATCAGGTCGCAGCTTGATCTCATTTGGAGGTGCTAAGGAGATAAATAGCTCACTGGAGGCGGGACACTCGCTCATTCCCTGCGAGACCTTCCTATTGAGAAGACACATGGGCCTATGCTAGAGCTCTGGAGCTGAAGGAGCCATGTGGAGACCCCTGTCAGATGCTTCTACCATCACTGGATCCATAAGACTTCAACCCACTGGCCTGTGATCTTCCTGCATTCAGCTTCATCGCATGTGTTTTGTGAGTTTGAACAGGACTTTATACTTTGGTATCGGACATATGGGCAAATATTGGACGTACGGACTTTATCTAGAATGGGCTGGGATATTTTCTCAATATTCAATTGCACTGGTCTATAAAGCTCTTTCTTAGATACATACAAGTGTCTGTGAATCTGCTTCTCCAGTCGACCCTAACACAACAATGAGAAAAAATGGTTGCAGTGGAGCCGGGTTGGAGGCATGGTCCCGGCCAGGGGTCGGAGCAGCACCTGGCGTGATGCTTTGGAAATCAATCACCAAGTCTTTCTCCCGAGGCACCTCGGGATGGAGCTGAGCAACCTGCTCTCTGGTGAGTAGCCCGCACCCAACCATTGGCAGCTCCGAGGGCCTCTGTGATGATGAGACCTCAAAAGGCATCCAGACAAAGGAGACATGCCCCTAATGCCCAGGATCATGTGAATTGCTTTATAAACATGCACCCCGATTCTTTCTTGTTCTAGGTTGCAGGCAGTTCTACAAAATCCTTTTTCAAGATTTCGCGTGAGAGGTCAAGAGGTTCTTACCTGTCAAAAATCCAAGAAAGTCACAGCTTCCAGAATTTAAACCGTCATGAGAAGATCACTTTTAACATATAAGATATTCATAGAGCACAATATGCCATATGGCAAAAGGATATTATTACCCACGAGGGCCTGCTGTTGCTTTTGAGAAAATGACAGATGGCGATGTTTCTCACAGGATTAACTCCACTAGTAAAACTTTACTCCCGTGCCCATTGAAAAATAACGTGACTGCAGAACCGCACCAAAGCCGCCCTCTTAGCAGACAGACACATCGGTCCCGTCCAAGGTCACACTTGTACTTACTTGTTAAAGAGGTGATTGTCCACCTTGATCTTTGAATAGGCTTTGAAGTCGTCTGGCATCAACATGACGGGGATTTGAACGTGGCTCAGTTCATTGATCTAGAACCAAGAAACCAGAGGCACAGGTTAGGACGACAGGCATCGCTCTGGCACACTGCAGGTTCCGTCCTAGATCACCATGATAAAGCGAGTCACAGGGATCCCCCGACTTCCCTGAACAAATAAAAGCTATGCTTACGCTATATTATAGTCTGTTAAGGTTAGGCATCGGATGGACCAAGCTGAAAACATAATTCAACAGGAGAAAGTTCAACTTTTCCACAGTTGTACGTCGAATTCTGACTCTGCTAGAATACAAATGAAACTTGGTGTCACCTCTTGTCCTCTATAACCTCGTATTTAGGTTTGGTTCTCTCCTGTGGGAACCCTGGTGGTGGCGGGGGTGAGGTGTTGGGTTGCTAACTGCAAGGTCAGCAGTTTGAAACCAGCAGCCACTCCGTGGGAGAATGCCGGGGCTTCCTACTCCTGGAAGAAGTTAGTCTCGGAAACCCACAGGGGCAGTTCTACCCAGTCCTGCAGGGCTGCTATGAATTGGCATCGGCTCAATAGCAGTTGAGTAAGTATCGTATATACTCGTGTATAAGCTCAGTCTTTCAGCACATCTTTAATGCAGTTCTTGTGGTACAATTAGGTGCCTTGGCTGATATTCGGGTCGGCTTATACTCGAGCATATATGGTAAGTAAAGATAAAAGGCTGTTTTCCAAGGCCTTTCCAACACAACTTATACTGCGTTCCTGTTGGGTGTCACGGAGCCGATTCCAAGTCACAGTGACCTTGTAGGCAGCGAGAGAGCAGAGCTGCCCCGGAGGGTTTCCAACGCTGTATGGACCTGATATTTTACTGGGGTAGAGAGATTTAAAGGAGGATTTCAGTTTTGAACTTGTCCCGTTTGCTGCGCCCCTCCCTGACGTGTCTGTGAGGTCACAGGAGAAAGCATGAAATGTCTCCGTGCATGTCATCGGCTGCTCTAGGGTGTGTGTGCATGTGCATGCGCAGCGGAGGGAGCCCGGGAGCCATTCTGAAGGATGTCAGCATCCAAGGGCCTAGGAGAGAAGGAATAAGTTTGCAGGGGAGATAGGAAAGAAGTGCTCGAGGGAAAGGAATGAGAAGCCCAGTGTCACCCTTCCTGGGCTCACCAGTGCTGCACTGCTGAGAAGTCAGGTAGCAGGCCCCCCGGAGCATGTCACAGCAGGCACCATTGTGGGGCCTCTGCAGGTATCAGCCTGAGGCTTCCAGGTGGAGTTTAAGTTTAGCAAGGGGAGCAAGGGAGGGTAAACTGAAGTGAGCATGTATCTGTGCGCACGCGCACCCACCCGTGGTAGTTACATAATCTGTTGTCAATTTGAGACTAGGAGTGAAGGGGTGGAGTTTAGCCTGTCAATCAGGTCGCAGTTTGCTGACCTCATTTGGAGGCACTAAGGAGAAAATAGCTTGCTGGAAGCGGGACACAAGCTCACTCCCTGAGAGGCTCTCCACTGACAAGCCACTTGGAGCTATGCGGATGGCAGCCAGAGCCCTGGAGTTGGAGGAGCCACGTGGAGACCCATGCCAGTGCTGAGATGCTTTAATTGCTCTTGTATATAAAGCTCTTTCTTATACACATGAGTGTCTATCAATTTCTCTAGTCTGTCCAGACTTACACAATGTGAAATGAGAAAATGTAGCCACTGAAGATGCCTAGAGTTTAGTCGGTATGGAAATGAAGGAGAGAGGTTGGTGAGGAGGAAGGACAGAGAGCAGCCTGAGAGAGTGAGACAGAGAGAAATTCCCCAGGGCTTCCTGAGATGGTGGGAGGGCAGGAAGGGGGATCTCAAGTCTTCAGAGAGGAAGTGGCTTTGGAGAGGCAATTAATCTCCTGGAGAAAGAGAAAGAATGGGGCAGCGAGTGCAGAAGGGGTTGGCCTCCAGGGAGTGAGGGGAGACAGGAGTTCTTGCCCATGGGCTCCCATTTTCTTTGGGGAGTGGGGATTCATGGCCATCTGTTGAGAGCATTTACACGGGGCACAGAGGGTTGAAAACTGGGCTGCAGAACACGCGAAAGCAAGCTTGAGAAGGGCAACGTGGCTGTGCTTTGGGGTATGAGTTAGTTAATTGTGCCAGCCTGGCCGATAATCACATGTGGGTCTGGTTGAAAGGCGGAGGGATAAATGGGTGGTGAAGCCTCGCCTTTCTAGTTCTCGGGTCTCTTGTTTTGTGATGGTTGTATCGGGTGCAGTTCCCTGCTTCAGTTTGCAAGATTGACTTCCTACAAGACATCCCCAAGGAGAAGCCGCATGGATCTATCCCGATGCAGCCCTGGGTGCTGGAGCAGCCGGTGTGGAGACCCTTGCCAGTGCTGAGATGCTTACACGTTCACGGACTCAGCTTTCCTCCTGCAGTCGGCATCATTGCCTCTGTTTTGTGAGGTGGTGGACTTTGTGGACTGGTATTGGGTTAATGGGTTAATGTTGGACTTGTGGGCTTGGGCAGCATTGGGTTGGGATGTTTTCGTGATGCACATTTTCTTTACATAAAACTCTCTTATACATGAGTTGCTGTGGATTTGTTTCTCCAAAGTACCTAGACTAATACAGGGTACCACTGAGAGTTCCCTGTTAATCAGCAATGGCTAATTTACCGTGGGACCAATGGAACATGTGCAGTGGCATTCCTGCAGAGCCTCAGGGCACAAGGGGGAGACAGAGCATGGGGGCTGGGGGGTGGCCAGGTAGGAGGTTTTTGCTAGTCCTGTGAGAAAGCTAGCGGAGCAATGGAGCTCCAGGCCAAGCACTTGACATGTCAGCACAGGATGTCAACCGACCACCAGGAGTTTGATACTGTGTAGTGGAGCATGGACACTAAGAGTCCAGTCAGTAAGTACCACTGCGGCATGGAGGAGCCAGGAGTCTACCCACTGATGTGGGTGAAGGTTTCCGCACTGCAGATATGATGGAGAATGATGGGAGGTGAGAGATGAAACCATTTAACGTAACTGATGTGCTCGCTCTTGGTGACCTGAAGCCAACAGATGTATCTTCTGCGTCAGGAAATCACCCTCCTTCTGTGGAACTTCACTTCATCGATTTCAAGAGGGTATCAGAGCATCAAGAAGACCAAGCCTCATTAAAATGACACTAGCACAGGGCGGGGTGCCCGTGCTTCCACTCTTTCCCATCTTCACCACGTGGGCTGTCCTACCGGCTGGAGGCTTGACTGAGGTGACCAGATTTTAACATTGGTAAAGCGGGACACCATGGATAAAACTCACATCCTGGTGAAATAGCCACATGGTAGCCGAAAACTGTATACCCTAGCTTGTCGTGCATTCTTTCCAAAAACCGGGACCTTTTTAAAATACCGCAGGAAGCAGGAAAATTGGTAAAAATCGGGACTGTCCTGCCAAAAGTGGGGCATCTGGTCACCTTAGGCCTGACTCATTTCTCTATAAGCCCTGTCTTCATAAGTGAGCTACCCCAAGAATGAAGAGACGTTTGGGTCTCATCATCGAAGAAGAAGAGAGAGAAATCAAAGGTTATGATACGCAAAGCTTGGTTAACACAGAATCATAAAGTGCTGCAGTGGAAGGAGAATCCTACAGCTTCTATATGGTTTCATTTCTCATGTGGAAGATCATAGGGTTCCATCTGTCTCTGTCTTTATAACGGAGTCATAGGTGGTCACTAGCTTATGTCAAAGACATTGTGGATTCCTGATCATTCTGACAGGTGGTCTTAATGAGCAACGGCTCCCCATTTCATTTGGGTCTCCCTCTCTGCCCCCAAGAATCCCTGGTGGGGTCGTGGCGAAGTATTGGGCGGCCAAGCAGAGGCCGGCAGCTTGGAACCACAAGCGGCCGGCCCACAGGAGGGGAAAGACGAGGCTTTCTACTCCCAGCAAGTTACAGTCTCGCAAACCGACAAGGGCCGCTCTACTCTGTCCTGGGGTGTCGCTGTGAGTCCGGATTGACCCAATGGGAGTGCCTTTGGCTTTTTAGGTCCCCACCTCTCCCCTGCCACAAATCTTCCCCTCATGCCTCCTGTTGGTCAGCTGATTAGCTAGATTTAAAAACCTGTGGTCAACCACTTCACACACTTGAGGGTCTAGTACTTAAAACTTTTAAATTTGTAGATAATGTATGTTTAAGTGGTAGACCCAGGAAGCTATTTTTTTTCTCTCTATAAGCACGCTTTATTTCATTGTATTTGAGGTTGCTGTTCATTGATCCATTTCTTTGAGACACATTCATGATAGCAATGCCTGATATGAAAAATGTCATTTAACTTTCTGGTTAACTCGCTCCTTGAACGTTTAACCTCAACACCACAAATTAAAACATATCCCTTGTCTCTATTTCAGACTAAACAGCTGACACAGGTTGTGAAAATAAGTTACCAAAAAAAGAAAAGAAAGAAAATAAGTTACCATCTTGAATAAGACTGACTTCATCCTACTTGATAATTTTTGCATTCCACATAGGGCTCTGGGTGTGAATGTTCAGATGTTAGTACACAAATTCTTGGCTTTTTGAAGTCCTTAGTGTGAGAAAATCTAAGTTTTAAGTTTGACTTCTATGTGGTCCAACCATTCTATGTAGCCCACTGCAGAACTGGCAGCAGAACTAATCACGGTTTATCAGGGTGGCACAAACAAAGCATTTGGACTTCTTTGCTATGTCTTTATCTAGTTAGAAGGGGCCCTGGTGGTGCAGGGGGTTATGTGTGGCACTGCCAACTGCAGTTCCAAACCACCAGCTGCTCCTCAGGAGAAAGACGGGGCTTCCGACTCGTGTAAGCATTTGATAGTCTTGGAAACCCAGAGGGGCATCTACTCTGTTCTGTTGGCTCGCCGTGAGAAAGAATGGACAGTTATGTTGGTTACACAGCTACATGCAGACTATGTGCTTAATAGTTAGATGTATATACGCTACATAATCATGAAAAGGAACAAGAAGAATTATGTTAGCCATTATGACGTTGAAGGAAAGATGGATGAGGTAGTTAGTTTATTGTGCCAACCTGGCCAATAAACACATGTGGGTTAATTGAAGGGCAGAGAGATAAATGGCTCAGCGAGCCTAGCTTTTCTTTTCTCTTGCTCTTTCATCATCAAACTAGTGTGCAGCTGCCTTGCTTGTTTTGTGCCTCAATTTGCAAGCTACACTACCTGTGGGACATTTAACCCGTGGACTGTGACACTGTAATTTGAGGTTCCTTCAAGACCTGCTTCACCACACCATTGGAATCTACATCTCTTGAGCTGGGGACTGTGGGACCCTGTCATCTGGCTGACTGTGGGTGACCTGCCTTGCTGTTTGCTGCCTGTGCCCGAATAGCCTGAATTGCTCTACAGAGGACTACCAGGCGGCCCTCAAGACTTGAAGGACTGCCAGTGTCTCACAACTGTCTCATGGGAGTGAATTGCACTGAGCCATTTGTACTGCTTTATAATTTAATTAACTGTTTATTTCTTACATTATACAGATAGAATGGATATAAGAATAAACAAGAACTGCAGAAGCCAGAGTTTAACTGATAGAGAGACAAGTGGTTTTTGAGTTTATAAAAATTTTTATGAGGGTAGCTACCCAATAAACCAGTTAGAGCAAATGGTTTGAGAATGAGGGTAACGAATGTACAAATGTGCTTTAGAAAATTGATGCATGTATGGATTGTGATAAGAGTTGTATGAGACCCCAATCAAAAGATTAAAAATAAATAAATAATAAATAAATAAACCAAAGTTAGATTACTAGGTTCTTCATGTTTAAGGTTACTCTGGGGCAGCGAATAGTTCAAGAGCATTGATCCTATGGCTCTGCAAACCGCTTTGACACGTTCTCACTGTCCAAGGAGGCTGACTCTCTGCAGCCGTGCGGCGCTAGCTCCTGACCGTGGAAGAGTGGTGTCAACACCCCCATGGCGAGAGGTCGTGGGCTGAGTCACCCAAAGCTCCAGAACGAGCTGCTGGTTCCTGTTTGGGCCGTGCCAGTCACCCCAGAATGTCTTTCTTTCTGTTCCGCCCCCGGGGCAGCACGGAAGCCCGAGAAGCACTGACAACACTGGTGCCCAGCATAGGACACGGATACAGAAGCCTTTGTGGTCAATATCAATAGAAACAAGGCACAGGGGGACGGGACGGGTGGTGCCAGTGCCAGTACAAAGGCTCCCTACAAAGACTGTCATGGGAGAGAGAGAAAGGGAGGACACTGGCTGGCAGAAGTGGGGCGTGGGGAAAGAGTGGGTGCCTGGGGCAGAGACCCAGGAGCTGGCCCTCTGGGGTCTAGGCTCAGCTTGGCCTCCACTTCTTCTGCACTTGGCATTAACCTCACTGCTCACACTTACTGGACTGTCTGCCAGGCGCCACAGTAAACTCCTCAGATACAGGATCTCACTTAAGTTTTCAACCAGATTGGGTTGGTATCTCAGAGGAAGGGGGCCCTGATGGCATAGTGGTTATGCATTGGGCTGCTAACAGCAAGGTCAGCAGTTTGAAACCACCAGCAACTCCCGGGGGAGGGAAAGATGGGCCTTTCTACTCCCGTGTCAATTTAATCTGAAGAAACCACAGGGGTGGTTCTACCCTGTTCTATAGGGTCCCTCTAAAGGCCGGGTAATTCCCTCTGGAGAGTTAGCTGTGGGAACTCTCACGGAGCATCCTCCTCTCGGAACACGCGTGAGGTCTCAAGGCATCAGCATCAAGTCAAGGGCGATGGCTACTACTGTCATTCCATTTCACAGATAGGACACTGGGGTGAGGCAGATCAGACAACTGGTAGCTACCGAGGCGTAGAACTGAGACGGAACCCAACCGAAGCTTTGAGCTTCCCAGTCACGCAGCTCAGCGATCTCAGCTATGAAATGCCGGAGCTGGCCCGGCCGACCTGAAGACCCCAAGCCAAAGTCATTGCCACCGAGTCTGATATGCACTCACAACATCCCCGGGGACAGCAGAGAGGTGCCCCTGAGCGTTCCTGGGTTGTACCTCTTGACGGGAGTTACAAAGCCGGTCTTTCTGCCAAAGAGAGGCAGGTGCTTTCGAATGACGGGTCTGGCAGTTAGTAGCCCGACAGAGCCACTACACCAAGGCTCCTTCAGGATTCGAAGACCCGTCCAAATACCAGACAGAGAGCCTACAAAAGTACAGTTCACCTTAAGATGCTACCACGCTTCTCCATGGTGGTTAAAGAAAAAAAAGATTGTGATAAGAATTGTATGAGCCCCCAATAAAATGATTTTTAAAAATGTTCAGAATAAAATTATTAAGTGGACATTTAATGGAATGTTTGTACACTATGGCTACAATGTGTGTGCTGTCTGTAATTTTCATATGTGCAACGGAAACTTGGAAAAGACTGTCAGGTAGCTGGATAGGGGGGGTGTTCCTCCCCATGCCTAGGGCCCTCTAGAGGAAGTTGGAAGTCGATAAAAGACTAAAGGGAGTGTGCCCAATCAGGCCCCAACCCAGGGGGCTGTGCACCTAGGTAGGTGGTACACCTGGGTGGGCCCCAATCTAGGCCAGGTGGGCTTAATTCAGCCAATAGGGTCAACCAGTGCCATCGACCACACCTCCCAGCGGAAGTTCCTAAAAAAACCTTAAACAGAGAAACCACACTCTTCTCCAGCTTCTCCTCCGAGGTTCCACGTGGCCAGGCCAAGAAGGTCTCTCTCTCTCTCTCTCTCTCTCTCTCTCTCTCTCTCTCTCTCTCGCCTCAGGCTACCACGAGTGGGTGTGCAGTCCCACGAGGTTTGCCCATGTTCAGGGACTGTAAAACCTGAAACTTCTCCCGTCCTTTACAAAAACATGTGGATCACACACCAGGCTTTGGTGTGAATTTCTTTCTCGTGCAAAGCCAAAGACCAAGGTATTTCTCACCAGAGAAATCTAACAAGACCTCTGTCACTGAAAAGCTGTAATTTCTCTGACATGCCTAGTCATTAAAGAAAGGAAGCACGAACACTCCTTCCAACTCCACTAAACCTTTAAGAACATCCTAACATCGCATCCGTACAGGATGCAAAATAGCTTCTTGAAGCAATTATTTGCGAAAGTCAATGGGTTCTGTCTTTCTTTATGAAGGTATGAGTCACAAAAAGCAGGGCAAAATGTACATAATTCTTTCCTTAAAAATAATAAAACACCCTTAAACAACAACACTATATGGCCCAACTCAGAAAAGGTGTCTCAATTCCTCAGCCAGATGTTCCGATTGACCTTGCGTCGAGTTACCACCACTGCTGTACAACACAGGTGTGTTTGGTTTTTTTGGATGGGTAAAAGCTTCTGACCAGAACCAGTATCCCTCCTGCGGGTGGAAGACTGAATTCCCACTGGCAAGAACACAGGTTGCCAAATCGGGAGTAATAGCTGCTGGGTGGAGAGAGACCCAGCTGGTAGTGCTCAGAAACTGAGGCACGCAGGTGTCCCCACAAAGCCCAGGCCACAGTGCTGTGGCCTTTAAAACACAAACAAATAAGCCTCAGCGATTTGGTTTTTAAGTCTGGCAAAGAATGGGTTCCTAAATTGCAAGGCAGGATGAATGGCACCCAGTGAACACAGGCACGCCACCTTACGCACTTTGCGCCCACACTTAAAGATAACTAACCATGGGTTTGCATTCAGCCAAGATTACGCAGAAACGGACCAGAAGAAGAAGAAAAACCCAAGACAAAAGTTGCTCACGTGTGGCATGAACGCTGAGATAGTTCATCTGACTGTCACGTGGGCGGGTCACCAGGAAACTGATGCAGGGCCATGGCAGGGGACGCACTATTGTGTGTTGTGAGGCTGCGGGGCCTGACGGCCGCTGGCAGGACAGAGCTACACAGAGGGTAGCATGGACCCCTGAGACTGGGGCAAAACGCAGGCTGGCCACAGGGGAGTCTATCTTGAAAGGCCTTCATCCCTCCTCAAAAATCCCAAGGCACACAGGTAGCAGAGGGCTTACTTGTATCCCAAGAACCACATCCCTACCATTTAAATAGGAGCGCGAGGTTTAAAGTGTAATTCCGAGACACAAAGTTACAACACTTGTGAGCAGTAGGGTGAACAGGCGAAGCCCAAAGGCCCCGTATCAGTGTAGAGTCTAAAGAGAAAAAGAATGTGACTGCCGATGTGGACAGGACTTTAACTTCCGATTCTTAGGGAACTCAAGTGAAGAAGTGCATCGTATCAAACAACAAGTCTCCCCCACCCCCCCAGCTTGGGACTTCTACGAAAGGGTCTGGACTTCACAAGGCAAAATGTGATGCAGCCTCCCCACACCCCACACCCACCGAGGCTGAATCCGTCAGAAGATAAACACTTTCCACTTAAAGGACTCATGTCCCAAATAAACAAAACCCCTCTGTGCCTCTATGGCTGATAAGCATTTCCCAGTGATAAGTTTGCTTCTGCCTGGGGGGGTCACTGACACAGGAAGTGAATTGAACCGAGAACCAGGGCTTTGGGCCATTTGACCGGAGGGTCTTCTCAGAGGCCACCGGCATAACCCCCAGGGTGAGTGCTGAAGGATTCACCTCCCCTCCCACAGAAAACGAGGCCATTTAAATGGGAGCCAGACCGCTCAGGGATTCTCCCCAAAGGTGTACAAAAGCAAACTCTGGCCCATTCCCAAGGACCCTTTTCCCATTGTGTACTAACCCCCCCCCCCACCAAATAAAAGGTCATAAGGCTGACCACTTCTTACCACCACCACCACCACCACCATCACCATGCCACCTCCCTACCTCCGATGCCCTTCTCCCCAGGCCTCTGTGGCATTTCTGGAAACAGTGACCCAAATCAGAGGGAGCAGGAACTTGGCGGAAGAGCAGCGACATGGACACAGGGTTTTAATAATTGACATGAGCGAGCTCAGGCAGGTTGCCTGGTTGGTGTGAGTTGCCCTTAGGCTAGCTGGCGGATGTTGACCCGTGTGCCCGCCCCGAGTTAGGAGGGACACCTGGGAGTAACCTAAACCCACTGCAGCTGAAGTCTCTTCCCACTCACAGCGAGCCGACAGGACTAGAGTACAACCAACTACTCCTGTGCGTCTTTACGAAAGCCGATGAGTTTGAACTGCTGACCTTGCAGTTAGCAGCCGGGTCACCAGGCTCCTCGTGGGACGAGACGTCTTTTAAAAAGTTCTTGTGCTCTATTTGTTGTAAAATTCGGATACCCTCCCCTAGCTCGTCTCTGAAGTTATAGAGGTCGCTGGCAAGCATTGTGTCCTCAGGACAAAGATAATTGTAAAGGCATGGTTCCCCCCTCTCTCTCTCTCATCGTTTTCCTACTTTCTTAGCAACCGTGGGAGGTGGAGGAGGAGAGTGTGCCAAAAATGTGCATCTGGTTTTTACTGTGGTCGCACTGGCCTACCCATCGGGCTGTTAACCGCCAGGTCAGGGGTCCGAATTTACCAGTCTCTCTTCTGTAAAGAGGTAAAGTCTCAGAAATCCAAAGGCGCAGTTAGTTCTGCATGTCCCACAATGTCGCTGTGGTCAGCAGCGACTTGAGGGCAGTGAGAGGTCTCAGTTACCTGATACCCGTTTGTAATTTCTTATTCCATATTTAGAACGACAACAACAACTACTACTGCTAAACAGCCACTAAGCTGAGCATCAGCTCTTGTTTGAAAATAATTTTGTGATCTTGTCATGACTATAAGGTAAGAAAATGAAGAACTCCCCCAAATGCGGCCCCAGCGAGCCTCGGGCACACAGCCCGTTGGCATTCCACGTCACGTGCACTGGATCTCAGTCTGCAGCTGGAGGGCCAGAGGATCAGGCACAGCAAATTAGAGGCAATTACAGAGTTAGCGGAAACAGGCAGCTGACAATGGGTGTGAAATGTATTTGATTTGTTTTGGGAGCAAGAGGTCAATTTTCTACAGCTGCTCTACCATTTGTTTTTTTCAAGTGGTTATCTGTGTACTTACAGATAAGTCCAAAGATGCAAGTATATTTTAATTAGCATCTCCCGCTGAGATGTGAACCATCGCCAGATACGCAGAAAAGAAAAATGCTTTCCTTCTGACGAGCCAAATGAAAATGTCTTGCGAGCAGGACAGGGTACAGCTGGGAGTGAAAGTTGCAAAGGCCTGTGGTCACAGCGTCTCTACACTCAAACGCCCCCCAATTAAGACACCTACGGGAAGGTTTCTGTTGAGGAAGGCTCATTAAGTCTATCTTTTAATTGACGGCTACTTGGCGAAAATGAAACTGTCGTTGGGGCTATTTAAACTCTTGCTTGGAGTCTTGCTCTATTTTGTCACAGAGACACAAACTGTGCCACTGGTCATTGGTCAGCTTGGTATCTGTAAGCTCCAGCTCATGCTAGAAGGGCCTCGTCACTGAACGGACCTGCCCAAGGGGCTGGCCCGCCGCCAACTTCACCCAAGGTTGTAGTCCTGTTAACATCTTACCTCCCATGGCCCAAAGACTCCCACAACAGCGAAAACGCCCGGCCCGGGAATCAGGCCCCACTCAGGAGTTCAGTTGACGATCTCGTTATGAGTGGAGGCTGGGCAATGAGTGACGCTGAAGCCAGACATTCACAGTCTGACCGAGGTAATACTGGCGTTTTAAAGACTAAAGGAGAAATGTTGCCAATGAAAACAGTATCTTACAATGTGGTCCATTCACAAGTGTGCCGGACCTGGAGCCACGGGATCTCTAAATCCTGGTTCGGCCCCTTAATCACCACCACGCTACCTGGAAGGAAACCCCACTCTGCTCTCTCCACCTCGATCCATGCTTTTGTAAAACAGGTTTGAGGAGATAGGAGATGGCCGAGGACGGACGTGGGGTGTGTCCCGACGGGGACTTAGAAGATGCTTGGATTTCCTGCTTCAGACTAGAGGAAATTTACATCAAGACTTGGGCTTCTGACGTCTCCATTCTTTCCCAAAGGAAAGGTCTGGCAGCCTTGCCAGACATAACGCCCGATGCCAAGTGACGGTGGAGTTGTGGCCTCTAGCTCCCTTCGCTTCTGGCTCTGGAATGGGTCACTCGCTACAAGCGTGGGACCCCACGGGATTCCAATGGTGGTCAGCCCTGCAACTACAGGCAAAATCTTTTAAAGCAACAGTCCACAGAGTTGCTCCGATTTTCAGAAGTGGGGAACCTCCTTTTTCGTTTGATTCCTCTGTTTAGGGGAAGCAACAGCCCCAATATTATAATCCAGTCTGGCAGCTCTGCTTTATGCTCCCAGTTCCTGTGAGGGGGTTAAGGTTACCACTCGCTGGAAGTGGGCGGTCATGTCTTTTCTGCTTATTCACCCTAGGTTGAGGATGTCCTGATAGGGCCCCAAGGGGTTTGTGGTAATCACCTAATCTGGTGTCAGTTTAAGGATTAAAAGTGTAGGGGTAGAGTCTAGGCTGTCAATCTGGAGATAGCCAATGAGACTTCTGTGTGGGCATGGGCTTCTCCTGAGAATTCTGGGAAATCTGGTACTTCCTCCTTGGAGGCAGAAGACACCTCTCTCTCTCTGCTACTCCCTGGGAGACATTGCAGAAGACAAGCTACATGGACGCAACCAGAGAAGCCACAGAGAGACCCCTGCTAGTGCTGAGATGCTTACAACGCTACTGGATCTAAAGACTTTCTACCCACTGGCTTGAGCATCCAGCATTTGGCTTCATTGCATGCATTTCGTGAGTCTGAAGAGGATTTTATAGATTGGTATTGGACATAAGGGCTAATATCGGACTTATGGATTTGATCTGGACTGGGCTGGGATGTTTTCTCAATATTCAATTGCTCTTGTATATAAACCTCTCCCTTATATACATATGTGTGTTTATGAATTTGTTTCTCTAGTCTACCCAGACTAACACAGGGTTTGTGACAGCAAGTTTTCCATAAAGGTGTCAGTCAGAATGTGAAATGCGGCCAGCAAATCTGACGGAGAGGAGGCCTGGCCTCTAATCTTCTGTAAGCGGTGCTGGGCTAGCTGTGGAGAAGGTAAGGGGTTTGTGATGTAAGACACCACCCCCCAACCCCCACACTACCACCCACTGGCAAGGCCACTCCGGCTGGAAAGCAAGCAACCATGAGGACACCGGCCACTCCTGCACACCATGAAGGAAGAAGTCCCCGGGGTGGCAGAGAGCGGGATGGGCGAGGACAGGTCTGTGTTTGGGGGGAGAACAAAGAAAAAAAGTTTTCCTCTGACACACTTCTTCCTTGGGACCTATATTAAGAGTGCAGAAGGAAGTACGGAATTCCTGACCGTTGGCTTTCTTTTCCACGGACAGAACGAGGGGCCGCTTGTTTCACTGCACAAGATCCATCTAGAAAGGACAATCTGAGGAAGGCTACTATATATGTGTGTGTGTGTGTGTGTGTGTGTGTGTGTGTGTGTGTGTATTATATATATATTCTTGGATTCTTATTTTAAGTAACAAATAGACCTTGCATTTATATCCCCTCCTTGGCCCAAGCCCAGCTAAAGTGGGGGAGAGACAGAGTGAATAACTGTGACCAAGCAAACGGAAGAGCACGCAGCAACATCAATTTAAGAAGCATTTTTCAAAAGACAAACTCCACCCATGGAGGGCAGCCACCTCCAGGAAGAGGGGAGAGGGCTGCCTTTCCAATGCCTGTGGCCTCTTGGCTCTCACAGATAGACGCTGGCCCGGGTGCGTGGGTCAGTGGCAAGAGCTGAAGCCCCGACCCTTCCCCGGCAGACCAGGCATTGATGGCCTGGAGGTTCCCACTCTGGCAATGCCAACACAGAAGCCGGCAGCGTGTGCCGCTAGGTACTCGCAGGAGCGAGAGTCTCTCTGCTCTCACTTCAACCTCTGCTTTGCTGCAGTCACACCTGGTGCTAGTGTCACTCCCTGAGAGGGGCCAGGAGAAAGGCCTCCACGGAAAGGCCACCAGGGAGCAACCCGGAGAAGCCCGAGGGCCGATCCCCTCAGACTATGTGCCCAGAGCTTGCGGTCTGCTCCCTGTGTCCCGTCCTGAAATGGCAATGGCTGGCCACGGGCACTCACCAGACACTACAGAGAACCTCTAACGGACAGCATTCCTGACCAAGCGCAGGGCGGTGGAAAGGAGGAAGACTCTCAAGGAGATGGGTGGACAAGACCCAGTGGCTGCAGCAGTGGGCTCAAACACAGCCATATCCATGGGGCGGTGCAGGACCAGGCTGGGTTTCCTTCTGTTGTAAAAGCGTCGCTGTGTTAGTCCGGGTAGACTAGAGAAACAAATCAAGGGGCACTCACATGTGTATAAGAAAGAGCTTTATAGAAAGAGTAATTGCATACTAAGAAAGTATCCTAGCCCAGTCCAGATCAGGTCCACGAGTCTGATAGTTGCCCATATGTCTGATCAATCTATAACATCCTCTTCAGACTCACGAAACACATGCAATGACACTGAATGCAGGAAGATCACAGGCCAGTGGGTGGAAGGTCTTGTGGATCCAGTGGCGTGTAAGCATCTCAGCGCTGGCAGGGGTCTCCAAGTGGCTTCTCCAGCTCCAAAGCTCTGGCTGCCCTCAGCCTTGTTTCCATGTGTCTTGTCAACCAGAATGTCTGGCAAGGAACTGAGCCTGCGTCCTGCCTCCAGCGAGCTATTTATCTCCTTCTCAGAGCTTCCAAATGAGGTCAGCAAGCTGCGACCTGATTGACAGGCTAGACTCCACCCCTTCACTCTGAATCCTCTCAAATCGACCACAGAGGACGTAATTACTACAGCCACCACGAGTCAGAACGGGCTCAATGGCACTTAACAACAGATAAACCATCACCGGGCCTTCATGGAAAGCTTCTACCATGAAATAACTCAACCTCACAGCCGTCAAATACATTCCCACCCACAGCGACCCTACGGAAAAGGG